CCCCTGTTTAATAAATGGTGTTGGGATAACTGGCTAGCCATGTGCAGAAAGCAGAAACTGGACACTTTATACTAAAATTAACTCCAGATGGATTAAAGACTTAAACATAAGACTTAAACCATAAAAACCCTAGAAGAAAACCTAGGCATAACCATTCAGGACATAGGAATAGGTAAGGACTTCATGACTAAAACATAAAAAGCAATGGCAACAAAACAAATGGGATCTAATTAAACTTCAGAGCTTCTGTACAGCAAAAGAGACAATCATTAAAGCAAACTAGCAACCAACAGATTGTGACAAAAATTTTGCAATCTACCCATCTGACAAAAGGCTTATGTCTAATATCCTCAAAGAGCTAACACAGATTTACAAGAAAAAAAACAAACAAACACATCAAAAAGTAGTCAATGGATATGAACAGACACTTTTCAAAAGAAGAAATATATGAAGGAAACAAACATATGAAATCATCATCACTGGTCATTAGAGAAATGCAAATCAAAACCACATTGAGATACCATCTCATGCTAGCTAGAATGGTGATCATTAAAAAATCTGGAGACAACAGATGCTCGAGAAGATGTGGAGAAATAGGAACAGTTTTACACTGTTGTTGGGAGTGTAAATTAGTTTAACCATTGTGAGTGTGGCAATTCCTCAAGGACCTAGAAATAGAAATTCCATTTGACCCAGCAATCCCATTACTGGGTAGGACTATAAATCATTCTATTATAAAGACACATGCACATGTATGTTCATCGTGCCACTGTTTACAATAGCAAAGACCTGGAACCAACCCAAATGCCCATCAATGATAGACTGGACAAAGAAAATGTGGCACAAATACACCATGGAATACTACGCAGCCATAAAAAACGATGAGTTAGTGTTCTTTGCAGGGACATGGATGAACCTGGAAACCATCATTCTCATCACACAAGAACAGAAACTCAAACACCACATGTTCTCACTCATAGGTGGGTGTTGAACAATGAGAACACATGGACACAAAGAGGGAAGCATCATACACTGGGGTCTTTTGTGAGGGCTAGGGGAGGGACAGTTGGGGGGAGGGTGGGGAGGGATAACATGGGGAGAAATGCCAAGTATAGGTTATGGGGGGATGGAGGCAGCAAACAACCTTGCCATGAATGTACCTATGCAACATCCTGCATGATCTGCACATGTACCCCAGAATCTAAAGTACAATAACAAAAAAAGCTTATTTTTCTGTAACTACCAGCTCCACTTCCAGCAATGAAAACTTGTTTTCTAAGCTGATTCAGTTAGTGAGAATGAAAGCTCATTTGTTTGATAAAATACTAGGAAGTAAAGGTAATCCAGTATGAAGGATGCACTAAAAATCTTCTAGGGAATTGGCTTGAAAATAAATTTTATGCCCTTTCAGAGATCTAGTGTCCTAAATTATCTGATTGGGTACCTGGCCATGTGATCCTTTTTTTTTTTTTTTCCACTGAAGCAAAAGAAGATTGTATAAAAAAGAAATGAATGTAGGATCCAGGATTTTGCCTTTCTTTGTTTCCTGAAAGACTTCAATACATCTGCTAATTAGAGGTTGCAGTGAGCAGGTATCGCACCACTGCACTCCAGCCTGGGCAACAGAATGAGACCCTGTCTCAGATGAAAAAAAGACATCCACTAATTAACACAAAGTTAGTAATTAACTGGCTCCCTTTCCCTAGAATATGGTCCAGGTACTGTGTTCATTTAAAGACTATCAAAATTACCAAAACTGTTAGCTGGACTCATATAGGCATGGTTAAAATCCTTTGGCTACGTTTATACTGTTTCTAGGGAACCTAAAATAGTGCTGAATCACTTGCGCTATGGGTGATTTCACCCAGTCCTTTGATATTGTTGGCAGAAAAAAAAATTGATTTGGGTTTGAAGTGTGAAGGTCCCAAGCATCTGGCTGTTCTTAATCAAATGTTTATATTTCCAGTTGAAAGTTATTTATATTTCAGTTACTTTCCTTTCAAACAGATAAAAAATGAAGTGCATATTCCCCCAGATAGTTCTGAATGCACTTTTTAAGCTGCATATTCATTCCCCCCCCCCCCAGTAGCATGGACATCAACAACTCAATGAATGTCTTTTTTTTTTTTTAAAGGACATTTTGAGTTACGTTTTACATATATAAATTGGCTGATTGGAAAGAGCCCTGGGTAAACTTTAGTTTCCCCCTTCCACCTTACAAATTTTGGAGCAAGCAAAACTCTAAGGTTTGCAGCAATAAGTGAGGTAAAGGAAAAGGGGATTGTAGCGGATAAACCTTTGTACTTTGTTGTTAACGGGATTTTTTTTTCCTTATCTGTGTGTATTATTTGGCCTAAAATAACATCTTGATGTAAATTTGTTTAAAAATTGGCAAAATGATACATATTTTCAGCTGGTAAGTAAAAACAGTCTAGTTGTTGCTTTGGTTAGTAAAACAGAAGGTCAGGGAGAATAATTTTTGCCAACACCACTATCAATTTTGGATTAAGCAGATATGAATCCTATCCTCTTGGAGTTTACAGTTGGGAGAGATCAATGTTAATAAAATTGTCAGACAAACAAATTACACAACAGTATGTAAAATATACCAGTAAAAAATGTCATACATGAAAGGTCCATGATGCTATAGGACATACAGTATGTGGATATGACCTAAACTAGGGGTTAAGGAAGGATTCACTGAAGTCATGATTATTGGGATAGGATTTGAAGGAGGAATAAGGATTAAATTGGTGAAAGGAAGATTAGGGAGGGAGGAGAGTGTTCCAGGCAGAGGAAATAGCACTTAGAAATACCTGTGGTATGAGAAATCCTATCTCATTCTAGGGGCTGCAGAAGATCAATGAGGCTGAAACTCAGAGGAAGGGACGAAGACTGATGCTAAGAGCATGTGACCCAGTGGCATTGTAAAATATCTGCTACATTGGTAAGATTAATCAGAAAAGTACTTGTGTCTTTGAGGGAGAAATGAAGACAGAAGAATTGGAAGACTGATGGGTATTAACTCAAAGAGGAGAAAGGTAGTGAGCTGATCATATAGACAGACAGTGATCATGACTATAGGTTAACTCTTCTGTCACTATAGTACATTCAGTTGCTACTTTGAAGTACTACTCCCAAAGGCTTTTCTCCTTACCCTTATTTTCCCTTTACAAACTGGTCTTCCTCTCAGCTACTCTCACTTCACATCTTCTGCATTTGATCACTTGGTTCTGGTCACCTAGAAAAATATCCCCTTCCATTCCTGGTTTATTTAATATTGAATCATCCATCCAAATGTAGCACAAATGCTACTTTTTCTAGGAAACCCTCCTGGCCCTATCTGTGGGACTTCATCTCCATCCTCTGATCTCTTACAGAACTCAATCTCCACATAACTGTCTTTTTTTTTTCAAAAATTTCCTTTGGTATCCCACTTTTTTCCCATATGTCCTTGTGTCCCTACCTAGACTGTGGCATACTACAGGTCAGAGATTGTATCTTTCTCTTGTGGACTGACAAATGCACCAAGTGCTGGTCTAGGATGAGAGGTGATAAAAGACCATTTATAAAGACATAGAGAATGTCAGCAACTGACAGAAATAGACATATTTGAGATAAACAGAGAGAGGAATAAAAAGAACAGAGATTGGGGGTGGAATGGGGAAGAGGAAGCAACAGAGAAAGTGGTTTTATTTTAGAGTCAGTCAGAAGTAATGGGGCTAGTGTCAGCTTCACACTAACTTGTTTACTGGCCTTCACTGTTAGTGAGAGCAGCCACAATAAAACTGAAGAAATAGGGAAATAAACAAGCTTAAAACATGTCCTACTTGGGAGGCAGCTTAATTACACAAACTGAAGTTTTGAAGCAGATAGAGGATTCCCCAAGACTCCAGGGGCTCTGCTCTGCCAAGAGAAAGAAAGCACCTTATCCCTGGTCAGAGAATTTCATTCCAGAGAAGGGGGAGGGGCTGCTGTTGTTGTTGGTGTTGGCAGTGGGTGGAGATAGAGTAGGGAAGGCTTGCAGGGGCGGGCTGGCAGAGGGGAAGGGCCAACAATGAAGTTACAGATGGATGAGTGGGTGTCTGCCACAAAATCAGATCAAGGAGAGGGAGGGGAAGAGGAAAATATAGGGAGAAAAAAAAAAAAAAAGTGTGACCAAGGCAGTAAACCTGTAGAAAATTAGAAAAGAAAAACTTGCCGTGAGGGAAGTAGGAGGAGGTAAACAATTGCAGATAACTCCCTATTATAAACAGATTGCATCTGTACTATTTATTTTGTTTTTTAGCAGAACTCTGAAATTTTCATGGTAATTAGATTTACTGTGAGGCAGTTATTTAAGAGTTATTTAAGAAGTGTAGACCCTCCTTTTGCTACAAAACACTCCCTAGTCCTTGGAAGGTGGGTGTCAGGAGCTCTGGGACCCTAGTACATCTCTGCCTGAGGGCACGTATCTGGCTTAAGTAAGTGAGTATAGTATTAAATTTTACTTTATAATTTTGTTATGGTGGGAGTTTGAATTTTGCACAGTGTGATAGGAATATATTTATGGTACCTTTCATTTTTGCCTTTGCCTTGCCCCCTACTTATTATTTTCAATATTATTGGTGTAATTATTTTAAACAAGTAGGAGCGAACATGTTATGCATAACTGAAACACTCCTCCTCGTTTGAAGGTTTGTCTCCTCCTCTACAGTCTTGCAGCAAAGACAGGCACACAGGCTTTCTCTGTGGATTAATTGGTCAGGAAAGACACTTTTTATATTGTCAAGTGGCACTTAAGCCATTAATTCTTGACTGTGAAACTGCTTTTCCTGGGCAATGCTCTTTAAGGAAAAACTTTTTCAGTCCAGTTACTGGTGACTAAGGGAACGATGGAGCACAGGGAATTGGGCGGGATCTAGACTCCTAATAATGCCTCCTTATCCAATGAAAAGCATTTCCTATTGAGACCCCCAAGAGTTCCCCTGGGCCTCGGCTCCGGCTCCAGCTCGGACTTCAGGCCTTTTTGTGTCCTGTTTGCTAAAGGCATGCGGGCTACAGCATTCAAGAGAGCTGGTCGTTAACAAAGGGAAAGAGATAAATGTAAATAAGCTCACATTTTCAGAATGAGCGGTTTGCAGTAAGAAGCTGCGGCAGCCCAGAGTCTGCTACTTTAGACTGGGCTAACCTTTCCCTGAGGAAAAAAAAAAAAATGGATAAAAATATGCACTCCCAAAGGGCGAGTTGCCCATTTACATGTTTATTAGCTAATTATCTACAGGCATCAGCACATTCTCTCATCTAGCACACTCTTTCTTGGGGTAAGTTTCTCTTTGAGAAAGATTTGATTTTGGCGTTTGGGGGTGGGGGAATAGCATAACAAACTACAGTGGAAACACTGATGCTTTGAGAGTTTACGGAAAGAAGTGAGACTTCAACTCTGAAGTACTGAACAAGGATCTTCGTGTTGAATGGTAAAAAGCGAGAATTTCCATTGTTTTGGCAATAATATTGTTTCCGTGAAAGAGATACAGGATTTTCAGGCTGCTGTTTCATGTAAACACAGTTGTTCTAAAGAGCTAATTTAAAATCACAGTGTGGAACAATTTAGAAAGTATGCTGGTTTGCTTTGTATTTCTTTGGTTTACAATTTATTGTGAGCTAACGTGGCTTGTATTATGATGAGGTTTCTTCTAGTAAAACTTTGCATGTCATGTCTTTGATGCTTAATCGATTTATGGAGAATGTGACATTTGCTATATTGAATAATTCATGAACTTGCCCATAAAGGAAGAATCATGTTTGAATGAAAAACTAATTCTGTTATAAACCGAATTTACTATTACATGTAAAATTAATTGCTGTTTGCCATACAAATGCATCAATGTGACATCTTTAAATTCTCTTGTTGTATATTTTAAGTATTTTCAGTAAAAAGATCTTGTTGAGTTATAAATACTGTATTTCAGTTACTTTTTAAAAGGAAATTCAGCAATGTAATTTATCATTATTTCAGCGTGGAAAAGACCAGACAAATTAAATAGTACATTTCAGAGCTTGGTGAGATTATTCACTTTGCTACCTTACCAAATTATAGCATCTTTCTTTTTCTTGACTAACATGAAGACAATAATAATAATCTGAGATTAAAATTATCCAATGGCTTTACAACGCGTTTATTTTTCTGAACAAAATTCCAAACATCATACCCCATCAACATAGATTGTAAAATCCTTTGCCTTGTCACAGATGAAAAGTTGCACTCTTGCCAAGAAGGATGAGTTCACCTGATAAACTTGATGGCATCTACATTGTGAAGCATCTCCTGCCAATTAGAGATGGGAATGAAGGCTTATTGGAACAATCAGGCGGGTCTTTCAGAATGTGTGCTCTCTGCAAGTTAAAGGGAGAACCTAGAAGATGCCTCACAGCAACACTAAGGCCAAGCTTAGCTAAAGCTTGATCTATTCAATTGCCTTTGTGAGAAAATGCAGTGAGAATTGTTCCCCTTGCTGTGGTTTGGTCAGCGCCTAATTGTGCACTTGTCTTTTGTCTGTGTATATGGCCATCATATATAGTCTGCCCTTGGCCTTCTTGATGGAGGAAGGAAAAAAACTTGTAATTTGTTTGTGAATATTGGAGATTGGGAGCCTGATGAAAGGTTACCTACCACTGGGAATCTAGCCTTACTTTAAGTGGATAAATCATCAGTTATCAGAACAATGCAAAGGGTAAATGATCTAATGAATCTACATGGCTAAGTCCTGAAGTATGCTGATAACCTCACATTCTGAAGGCTGAAGTGACCAGTAAACAGGTGGGAAGGGTTGAAGACTGAGACCTAAACAATTAGAGTTGATATGCCTGCTGAAGTGAGCAGGACAGAGGATGAGGAAAGTACGGGAATTTGGAAGACTTTAGGATATTAGTGGCATCTTTCTCCGTGATTCTTAGCTTCTGGTATTAATACTATTTATTTCTAATTTTTAAGTAAATTTAGAAATCATTTAATTAAGTCTAATAAAAATGAAAGGCCATCCTTGCAGACATTGAGGAAATAATGTTTTATAGTGGTGTATGTAAGCAGGTGAAAATAAATGGTGGAAAAGAACAACTAGTAAGGCCACCAGCATGGCACTCGTTGAAGGCTGCTTTTCTGTCAATCAAGACCAAAGATTAAAGGAGAAGAGAAACTGAGACTCAGAAATGGACTGTGACTTACTCTCACAGAGCTTGTGATGGGGCTGGGTGTGTTTACACTTAATTCATATCAACTATAAAAAATTCTGGGTATTTGAACTTCCCAGTTTGCTTGAATTTTGAATAAAAAGTTTTCTATATAACCTTTATCAACTGTGAAAGGCATAAAATGAAGAAATGTTAATGCTTCTATCTTTCTTTAAGATAAACCAATAAAATAATATTCATTTCATTCTAGGAATACAGATCTCTGGAGGAGTGTGAAAATCAATTCTCCTTAATATTAAGGTGATCTCAATATATCTTAAATTATCTAATCATTTTATTTGTTTGTTTTGGTTTTTTAGTTTATAGAAAAAATCATTTGGGGAGAGTTGTAATACTATTTAGCAGTTTGCTTTTTTTTAAGGTACCTCTGTTTAGAAAAGGATGAGATGTAACAATACTGTAAGTTTGGAGCTAGCAGATAATTCTACTTTACGGGTAGAGGCACTGTAATGGGTAAAGTCTAAACGCAGTTGCTATTTGTAAGAATTCCATTGCAGAGTAATTCTGGTTCTATTCAAATATTTTGTGCAGAGTTTGAAGTAGAGATGTTACAGACATGCTGTATTGGGTAGTTCTGGGACATCCTGGTAAAGGTGCAGTGATTGTCAGTCAGTGTGCTAATATCCAGTAATTGAAGCCTTGATTATATCACTGTAGTTCAGGGGAGAGAGAAATGTGTGGGCTGCAGGTAAGAGACAAGACAGTGGAGTCTCCACTTCTTATTCCAGTTGTCTTTCCTCTTCCCTTATTAAGGATCCTGCCCAATAGTAACAGTTATGATCAAGAAAAAAAAGACTCAATGTAAATTCTGGCCAAAACAAAATTCTCCTTTGTTTTCTTATTTTTAATGTAATGCATTACCTTATGAAAGTGGGGGAAATATTTTTATGCCTTTTGTCACTTATTATCATTAAATGATTATAGGTTATCACACATGGATTTTATGCTTTAGTGTTTAGCCAGTACTACCAATAAAATATAGCACAGTAGTGACAGGTTGGAAAATACATTGTTACCTGCAATTGTGTAATAATGAAATCCACTGCATGTAAATACCATTTTAAAATTTATTGGTTCTCATTTACTCTGCTTTATATCATATAATACTTTTTTCTATTGTATGATCTTTTAAGATCATTTTATTGAAAGTATACATTTTGTTGAAAATCTATCAGCTCTCTTTATGGCACACTATTATGACTGTTTCTATTTCACAGCACCTGTTGGAGGAAATCTATAACTACAGTGCCTCCAGGAAGCTAATTGTTTATTCCAGTCTTAGATAAAATTGGTGCCAACATTTGGCTCGAACTAATGTGGTGAGTCCTACCCTCCTCATAATAACTTTCTCTACAAATTCCTAATTTAATTGTTCAACTTTTGTTGTAAAAATAGTTCCAACTTATTAAAGAGTAAATGATTTGAAGACCCAGAAAGGATGGAGGAATTGTAGTTTGTTGTAATTCAGGCTATTTTGATGTAGATGAATGTTGATTCTTCAGCTCAACCCCTCTCTGCCACTGGGATTTGCCTTTAGATATGGGAGACTTTTTATTGCTATTATCAGGTTCAGTGTCGGTGTATATCACATGAATTCTTGTCCAAATTGATAACTGATTTGGCTGCTCAAATATAAGGAATAATGCTAAAATCCTGGCTGGCATATATGACCCTTACAGAAATTGGAAATGAGTTCTTTTGGGAACACCCAAATATTGTCCCAAAAGATCTGGGGCTTCTGCTGAGATGAGATATTGAGTCTCAAGACTCAAGACAATTTCATAATATTAGGTTGAGCAATTTATCTGCAGTTGTCTTACTCTGTAACTAAGTACTAGGGAAAATTTCACGTTAGTGGGGCTGATGCAATCTTTGGCCCCATCATGTTGAGCATCAGACCACATTAGTCCCAAAAGATTGGACTGCGTTTTCAAGTGAAGTATTAATGAGACACTGAAGTATTTTTTTTTTCTTTTTTGGTGAAAAGAAAAAAAAAATATCAAGTTAATCACTGAGAATGGGATCTTATCAAATTGAGGCCCATGTCACTTTCCTGTTTTCCTCAAATATAATGGAAAGGCAAAGCAACCTTAATAATCTTAGATTAGATATAGATACACCACTTTTAAAAGAATGTTTCTTGCATCAAAAATAAAAGAGAAGAGGTTGATGTAGATCAATTTCCTAGCTCCATTCTTGAGTGAAACATTTATCTACAGTTTCCTCCATATGGAATGCCATAAAGTTAGGTTTTGTTTTGAAAACTATTATGAAGCATCAACCAATGCATATGAATACTGATATAAAACCTGTATGATTATGACCTGTGTCTGTGACTTGACCTATAAAATTTCCTTAAGGAATCTTATCTGTTAGAAGTCACTAATTTGAGAAGCAGCAATCTTAATGTATTCCCTATTGCTCTAGCAGGATTGTTTTGAGCTGTATTTTTCACAACGTTTGTGTATTTTTAAATCTATTTCACTGCTAAGTATCGATAGGTAAGAACGCAATAGATTTCATCTTCTTCTGAAAACTATTGTATCAACTTTCATTAGCTTTGACTAGAGTCGAACAAGGAAATGCTCTGGAGATGAGAAGCATTCTGACCTGGCCTGTGCTCATGGAGCAAAGCAAAAACTATTTTAGTATACTCTACATTCAAGACCTTATCTTTCTGATTTCTGGACTGTCTTCAGTAGGGAGCAAAAGCAAGTTAGCTTTTATTTTATTTATTTATTTTTTTAAAGTACATGGGAAAAATTTAATAAATATACAAGATCAATTTCAAGAAATTTTAAAATATGATTTAAAGTACAAACAATACTTAAAATTAGAAAACAAACTATTTTGTGATAGAAAGACTGCACATCATTACACATCACAAAATAATTAATTTTACAAAGTTAATTTATAAATTTAATAGTATTGCAATAAAAATACAACTTGGCTTTTCTTTTTAAAATAGAAAAGATGATTCTATAGTTCACATTGAATTATAAAAAAAATTAGGAAATCTTCAAAAAGAAATTAGTGTGTACAGGTAGAATAGAAGGTCATTGGAGCAGGGATCTAGTTATAGCTCAAATAATTATGCACATTTATTTATTTTGATTTTATTTTGGGATGGAATCTCGCCCTGTTGCCAGGCTGGAGTACAGTGGCGTGATCTCGGCTCACTGCAACCCCTGCCTCCCAGGTTCAAGCCATTCTCCTGCCTCAGCCTCTCGAGTAGCTGGGACTAAAGTTGTGTGCCACCACACCCAGCTAATATTTGTATTTTTAGTAGAGACAGGGTTTCACCATGTTGGCCAGGATGGTCTCAATCTCCTGATTTCATGATCAGCCTACCTCGGCATCCCAAAGTTCTAGGATAGAGGTATCAGCCACTGTGTCTGGTCAATTATGCACATTTAATACATCACAAAGTTAGACCTCAAATCAGGGGTATCATGGATGATTCATTAACTCGTGTTGGTATATCTGGGTAGCCATCCAGGCAGAATAAAATTGGATAAATGTCTTCTAATTTACAACAGAATTAGTTGCAAGAGGACCATATAGTAAATGAAAAGAAAAAAGAAAGAATAAGTATCCTAAAAAGAGTCATACAGTTGCCAACACAGTCTTACCTACTCTGCTCCCCGCCTCTCTTCTCCTATCTCCTTATCTATTTTCACCATAGTTCAGTCTACACAAACCACACTGGCTTCCCTTGAACATATCAGGCAAATTCCCAATGGAGGCAACTTGTTCTAGGTGTTGCATTTGCCTGGAGTGTTCTTCCAGATGTCTGTTTAACCACCTCATCTCTTTTAAGTGTCTCTGTCTCCCTTTCTTTCTTTTTTTTTTTTAATTGTACTTTAGGTTCTGACCTGTGCTCATGGAGCAAATCATGTGCCAATCATGCAGGATTATTGTGATTATCTCAATAGATGCAGAGAAGGCCTTCGGCAAGACAACTTTTCTAGGATACTGGGAAGTGAAAGTATAGCACTTCATGAAGTGAAGTGATTTGATTATTCAAAATTATAGGACTAAAGGCTAACTTTACTTCTTCCAGCTGACTTAAAGACCCCAAACATGGTATACCTGTATTTTACTATCATTAGAAATTTAAAAAGGGAACAATTGTGGCCACTCTGAATTAGCTCCATGTGTAGATCAAATTTAAAAATTGAGGGTCAGATTTCTTTTTGGTCAACCTCCAGGGAACTTGCTTCCTGTCCAGTGTCAATAAAAATGCAGCTACCCAACACTGTCTGACACCCTTAGGTGATTAATTGTTGGAATAATTGGCAGCAGAGTTTTGCAGAAGATAGTAGTTTAATGCTTATTGCAGTGGAAGATGGAATTAACTGCATCAGCATATATTTTTCCTTCTTCATCTCATCTGAAGCTCAAGTGTTGGTTCTTTACCTCCATTTAGTGCACAATATGTTGGCTATTGAAGAGGATTTAATAGTTAGAAACACGGTTTCTTTTAGTCAAAAGAAAGGAAACAGTAAGAAAAGAGGCAAATATTGATTCTTCTTCAGAATCATCTCAAGAGCCAAATGCCTCTCTGGTTTTTTAATCATAACTGTATGGGAGATACTACCTTGGGGGCACACTCCTGGATTGTCCTGTTTGAGTAAATTGTGAAGTTAAGGCTGAAACTCAAGTCGGGGGGCTTTCTGAGGTACAAGGTATACATTACATGACACTAGAAAGGTGTGTTTCTAATGTCAACTTTAGTGTACCAAAAAAGACAGAGTTATAAGTTTACAGTTGTTTCAGGAAGGGAGAAGGAAACAAACTTATATAATATTTCTCTGTGGTTACGTAGGGCTGAGTACTGGCAAGCTCATAAAGCTATTCATAAGCTTTGCTGAATCTTCCTAGCTTTAGCTGTGAGGCTTAGGGGTAAAGTTTATTCAAGGAAGAGAAAGAGTATAGCCAAGTTACAGAGTGAACCAGTGTCTGAGTCAGAAATAGAACTCCTTGCTTCTAATGCTGTGTTAAGTCCCAGCACCACACCCTCACTTCTAGACAGCAAAGGTGGTATGTGTTCAAGCAAGGGGAGCTATGAATAGGGCCATAGTGGCAGTTTTCCCATGCCCTCTCTTCAGGATTGAGAATGTAATCCTTTCTTGTCTGTGCTTTCTCTCCCACAAAGTTTGATTACTCAGAGCAGCAGAGCAGAAGTGGCAGGCATTTGCATACTGCTTGCTGTGGGTATAGTGTATATGTTCCTGGGAACGTAAGCTAAAGTGAGGGGATGGATATGTTAATTAGCTTGACATAATCACCTCATGTGGTATACATATATTCAAATATCACCTTGTACTTGCATAATTGTAGTACAATTATGATTTGTCAGTTAAAGCAAATAAAAAGTAAAATAAAACGATTGAAATAATAAAAAAACTGAATGGAAAACTTGGGAGACCTATTTGAAATGTATCAACTTGAGAATCACAAAACAATATATAGCAAGTGAGCTAGAATCATGCTGCTTAAAAGGATCACTAGTGGGGAGAATGGAGGGACTCTGGGCAGAAGGGAAACGGCTTGTATTATAAATGCATTTTCCAAATAAAATAAATGTACTGACAGTACTTATTGTAGAAGGTAAGTGCAAGCCTATAATAGTGAATAAAGCCTGGCTTTAATGTTAGAGGTTTTGCAGTCCCATAAATTCTGTTTTAACTCTTAGTTTTATATTTTTGGACTCTTTGGTGACCTACACCTTACCCATGTTCATTGCCATGCTATAATATTGCACTTACTGTATTGATTGTGAGCTTTCCTGCTCCTGCAACATACTCTTGTAGTACCTTTAAATGTATGGTAGATATTCAAAAAAGTACTTGTCAAACCAAATGGAATGTGCATGTTTTCTTCCAATCTGGGTGGAAAGAATATCTTCTTATGCAGAAATCATGGATGGAAGGCAAATTTGATTATTTGTTCCATCTTGTCTCTGATAGGAGGAAAATATTTTCTACTGATCCCTAGTGTCAGAGTGGTGAACCCCTGCAGCCAGCAGGCCTCCTGAAAAAAAAGTCCATGGGTGACAGAAGATTCATTGACTTCCAATTCCAAGATTCAAATTCAAGCCTCAGACCCAGGTTGGGCAATGCTACTGCCAATAATACTTGCATTGTTGATGATTCCTTCAAGTATAATCTGAATGGTGCTGTCTACAGTGTTGTATTCATCCTGGGTCTGATAACCAACAGTGTCTCTCTGTTTGTCTTCTGTTTCCGCATGAAAATGAGAAGTGAGACCGCTATTTTTATCACCAATCTAGCCCTCTCTGATTTGCTTTTTGTCTGTACCCTACCCTTCAAAATATTTTACAACTTCAACCGCCACTGGCCATTTGGTGACACCCTCTGCAAGATCTCTGGGACTGCATTCCTCACCAACATCTATGGGAGCATGCTCTTTCTCACCTGTATTAGTGTGGATCGTTTCCTGGCCATTGTCTATCCCTTCCGATCTCGTACTATTAGGACTAGGAGGAATTCTGCCATTGTGTGTGCTGGTGTCTGGATCCTAGTCCTCAGTGGTGGTATTTCAGCCTCTTTGTTCTCCACCACTAATGTCAACAATGCAACCACCACCTGCTTTGAAGGCTTCTCCAAACGTGTCTGGAAGACTTATTTATCCAAGATCACAATATTTATTGAAGTTGTTGGGTTTATCATTCCTCTGATATTGAATGTCTCTTGCTCTTCTGTGGTGCTGAGAACTCTTCGCAAGCCTGCTACTCTTTCTCAAATTGGAACCAATAAGAAAAAAGTTCTGAAAATGATCACAGTACATATGGCAGTCTTTGTGGTGTGCTTCGTACCCTACAACTCTGTCCTCTTCCTATATGCCCTGGTGCGCTCCCAAGCTATTACTAATTGCTTTTTGGAAAGATTTGCAAAGATCATGTACCCAATCACCTTGTGCCTTGCAACTCTGAACTGTTGTTTTGACCCTTTCATCTATTACTTCACCCTTGAGTCCTTTCAGAAGTCATTCTACATCAATACCCACATCAGAATGGAGTCCCTGTTTAAGACTGAAACACCTTTGACCACAAAGCCTTCCCTTCCAGCTGTTCAAGAGGAAGTGAGTGATCAAACAACAAATAATGGTGGTGAATTAATGTTAGAATCCACCTTTTAGGCATGTGAATTGTGTTCAGGTCCAGATATGGTTTCTCCTATAATTTTTCTTATGCTATAAACTAAAGATTTGAAGCTAAGATACTGAGAAGAATGCACCAAATATAGTCAGATACATTTGTTTGAAGGTATACTGTACATTTTTATTGCTGTTTTGTTCAGTAATTATAGGTCAAGTCTAATTACAACAACCAAGATGGATTTCCAAACTCTTTTGCTTGGTTGGAATTTCATTGTATCACATTATGCAGGTGGCCAGTGACATTTGATAATATGGAGATGACTTTGAAACTTTCAAAAAGGTATTTCCATTCCAATGATACCTGGTAATTGGGTTGGGCCTATAAATATAGAACAAATTCAGGGATTTTTTAAAAAATTGTGTTACTACTGATATATGCTAGGTTTAAAATTTTTTTTTGAATTGTTGTTGAGTTTATTTTAGCACAAGAATATTTTTAGCCTAATATTATTAACATGAAATGTATCTAAATTTTAACATTGGTAAAATACATTATGTGCATTTCGAAAACAGAAAATAAATTGTGTTGTCATGTATGTGGGTGGGAATAAAGAGAAAATAAACAGTATTTACACATTTATAATCATCGGCAGTGTGAGTTTTAAAAACTTCATTGTTTTAACACTACATTAAAATTTTCATGTGAAACTTCAAAGCCAGAAAGCTGCTGAATATATATCTGGCAGGTAAAAGCTGGAAAATTACTTAAAACAACCAAATGTCAATAAAAAAAACTTGAGCAACACCAATACTTTTTGTTCTTAAAATGTCAAATTATCTTCATTTTGGGAAACTAGGTTCTATAAAATATTTATCCTCTATATTATATGTTGGAGAACAGCACAGCCAGAAAGGGGCTGCATTTGTGCTCAGGTCAGGAGCAAATTGAAAAAAATAAAACAAAGTAATACAAAAAAATCAAACTGTAAACTTGAAATATTTATTAAAACCTGAATTAATCATTTTTGGAGGGAGGAGTAGAGATATATGACCAGAAAATACTTATTCTTTCTTATCAAATTTTGGAGCATAATATAGCCAGGGGCTGCTGTATTTGTGCCCTCAGACTGGAAGCTAATTAAGAAAAAAAAACCAACACATTAATCAAAGCAAACTAGAACAACAACAAACAACAAAACAACAACAACAAAAACCTGCAGAACCCCATGAAAAATAAAAATAAAAATAAAAAAAAAAAAACTCAAAAATAATTTGTAACATTTTCATTACCATTTGTTCAGGCTCTGTAAATTTAAAAATACTAGGTTATTTGCATGAAATCGTGAAGCACAATGCAGCTACAAAGTGGCTAAATTTATCTCCTGGTCAAGGACAAACTGTGGGAAAAAAAGCCAAAAACCAAACTGCCTTAAAACAAACAAGCACAAACAAACTTTAGAGATTGCATTTTCCAAGCATCTGCAAATCTTACAAAACACTATAACATTCATATGATGTTTTGGATCAAAATGCAGCTAAGGAAGCCGCTAAACTGGCACCCTGTTTAAAAGCAATTACAAACAGTATTTTAAAATCTACGAAAAAAGAGAAAACATTTTTTATAATTTACTCCAACAAAAACATAAAAAATCTTTAAAACTCTTACTGTTTTAAAACTAAAGTGTGTATTTAAGAATATTAAAACTTTTAAATACAATGTCTGAGCTTGAAAGATGTTACATTTGTGCTCAAGTCAGAAGCAGTGGAAATAAACTCTTGCATACACACATGCACAGCAGCAACAACAGAAACCAAAATTAAATGTTAAACCCTGAAAAACAACAAAGATATTTTAAATGTGCATTAATCAATTTTTAAAATATTTGGATAACATGGCAATTTAAAAATGCTGAGAATTTTAAAATAAAACTTCCAGGAAAAATGTATCCTGTAAGTTGCTTACCAGAAACGTGTGCTGGAAAGTGGTTAAAAAATTAAGATGCACAGAACAATAACAAAAAAAATTCTAAAACAATAAGCAAATTTTTATAACTCATTAACTTGTTTTTCTTTCTGATGACATGCAGACTTAAAAATGATAAGACTTTTAAGTAAAAATCTGTGAGCATAATGAAACTTTAAAAACTGTAAAATTTGTGTCTGGGTTAGGAACAAATTGAAAAAATGCTAAAACAACAGTAAAAAAATTCTCAACAGTAGCATTACTTTTTCCAAATGAAAGTCCTTAAAGTAATTATGCATTATATAGTCTTATGAGTAAAGGCTGTAGATGTAATACGTAAGGCATTAGGCTCAGTTAAATGAAATTAGGTTAAGTTCAGTTCAGTTGTTAGACTATATGGTAAGATCAAATGAGTAATAAAAGTATGAATAATCTTTTGTTTCTGTCAGTATTCAGTTTTTTTATTTCTTGTAACTATAAAATATATGTGAACATTTTTGTGCTCTTGCATCTTAACATTATAAAATTTTATGATTACTACACCAAACCATTTAATGGGATGTTAACTAAGTTGAAATAAAATATATTATTAAATGGTTTTTGTTGTGTAATTTCCATGTTTAAATTTTTTTATATTTCACTTTTTTAATTTCCATTTTTATAGTTAATATAAATTGCTAATAATAAAAACGTCACATTAACAATGTAACCAAGAGAATGTAATGTATAACTAAATATAAAAGTGACTATGTTACATCAAAAGTAAAAGCAAATTTTCAGCTGTAATTGCAACTTGGATTTTAAATGTTTATTAAATGTAATAAAATATATTTGAATTATATAGCAGTTATATTTTGATCAATTATTCAACTTTCTTTATTTGTGGCCACTCAAAGGCATCTTTCCTTTATCTTCCCTCCACCTTTTCAAAAAGGAATTATTAGAATATATTTGCTCTCAAATTAATTTCAGTGCTTAATTTCTGAGGCTATCTGAAGACTAATAAAGAATTGGCAAATGGCAAATCGGTAACTTTTTAGGGATCAAGGTAAAAGACTAAAGACCTCCTTTCCTGATTTTTCTAACTTGGGTTTGATTTATTTGGGGTTGCTAGCCAAGCTGACTTCGAATTTCAATTTCTGGGATTTGACAAAATATTCTAGGACAACAACTGGGAAGCTGACTTCGAATTTCAATTTCTGGGATTTGACAAAATATTCTAGGACAACAACTGGGAAGCCTGGGAAAAGTTGGGGCAAACAGATCATGTGACAACAGTAAGAAAAATGTGGAGCTAAGTGGCTAACAGATTAATACCTAGAACAGGTGATGGTTCCGAGGTAGCAAGACAGAGTTTCTGAATATCATGCTCATGCCTCTAACTTTCAGGGAAGGCCATGTTAGTATCTCAAGCATCATATAGTGCATTAGTTCCCCATGAGATAACAGCAAACTGCATTTTCTGATCATGACTAGCTTGATCAGCCCTAGGCTACATTTAAAATTAGAGAAGCTTTGTCACTAATGATTTCCTAGGCCAGGTCCTCAGAAACACAGAGACAGAAGCTGTTGGTTTCACATCTTTATATGCCCTCTTCTACCTTTTGTCTTCACCCCCAATCCCTGTATCTTATGTTTAATATGGTTTCCCAAACTTCGTGCTCTACTTATTTTTCCTGTGGTCTTTGTGTTCTCCAACATCTCTTCCCAGCCTCTCCAGAAATATTGCTTCTTCCTGAACAAAAACACAGCACATAAAGCTCTGGCAAGACAGTGACAGGCTGAACAGATTTACATTAAGGTGTAAATGATTGATCCCTCATTTTTCCCTCCTTGACTGTTTTTAACCTTTTTGGTGTTTGCATCTTAGAAAAGGAGTCTGGTTAATTCAAATGACTCTCTGAAGTAGGATCAGGATGGGAAGAGATGATTGTCCTGATAAATGGTAAATCATCTCTTAAGCCTCAGCCTCTCTTGCCTTGTGGTGGAGCTTTTGCACTGCAGACTTTCTTGTCCTGCTCCCTTGAAATCATTTTGTGTTCCATTGATACCAAAACATATACCACCTGTTCTAGACAGCCCTCTTTTCCAAAACCACCTGCAGTGACTGGGAGCTTGTGTTCTCATTTCATATAGTCATGGAATCTTTCCCCCAAATGTTTCCTGATTTTGGTGGATTTGGTGAAATTATTTATAAAATACGAAGCAGTTTGTTTATATTTTATGAGCAAGTAACCAAAAGAGCACAGGCTACTGAGTCAAAAATCTCCGCTGTATGCAGATTTTTAAGAACCATATACTGCCTACTGTTTTGCTTCCTTCTGTCTCTGAGGGCCTGGGAATGAAGCTCTTCTTTCCCAAATATCCAGAGAGATACTGAGCTGAGGACCTCAGAAGAGCAGGTCTAATGTTGCAAGGCCTAAAATGTGGCAGTGAAGGAAGTCAAGTAGGTTTTCAAGTTGGCATGCCTTATGTGGCGCTAGCAGACAGCTTTCCTTCCTGTTTATCATCTGACAGTTCAGACCTTGTAGATGAGAAGGTAGTCTCAAAGAGCCCTCATGCCTTCTAATGATGTTCCAGGGTAAGTTGTCTCCTTCGCACATTGTTGCTTTTCCTCCTCAAGTTGGTGGTAGCAAAACCAAAAGTGTGGGTCGCTTTTCTCAATTGGGAACCTGGAACTTCTTGAATAGATCAAGTTCAAGGGAGCTTGAAGTTCCTGAGAAACAGGTTGGCTGGGAGAATTTCTAGGGATGCAGAGTTCATTCATTTACTTATTCAACAAATTTCTTGAATACCAACCATGCGTCAGGCATTCTTCTAGGTATTGGAGCTACAATGGTGACAATAACATATATATATATATTTTTGGTCATTTTAAACTTATGCGCTGGAGTCAGAGCAAGAAAACCACCAACAAACAAATAAACAAGTTAAAAAGTAATAACACTCTTTTCTGGCTGGAACCATGGAGGATGTTACAGAGAAGAAGAAAAAGGCTTCTGTAGTGCCAGAAACCCTTAAGAAAAAGCAAAGGAATTTCGTAAAGCTGAAGATCAAACACCTGAGAAAGAAGTTTGCTCCAGAATGCTTCAAAAAAACAAGGAGGAAGTTTATGAAATAGCAAAGCACTATCACAAGGAACATAGGCAGGTGTACAGAACTGAAATTCAAATGGCTAGGATGACAAGAAAAGCTGGCAACTTTTATATAACTGCAGAACCCAAATAGGCATTCATCATAAGGATCAGATGTATTAATGGCGTGAGGCCAAAGGTCTGAAAGCTGTTGCAGCTTCTTTGCCTTCATCAAATCTTCAATGGAACCTTTGTGAAGCTCAATAAGGCTTCAATTAACAAGCTGAGGATTGTAGAACCATATATTGCATGGGAGTACCCAAATCTGAAGTCAGTAAATGAACTAATCTATAAGCGTGCTTATGGCAAAATTAATAAGAAGCAAATTGCTTTGACAGATAATGCTTTAACTGATCGATCTCTTGGTAAATATGGCGTCATTTGCATGGGGGATCTGATTCATGAGATCTACACTGTTGAAAACTTTCTGTGACCCTTCAAATTATCCTCTCCATGAGATGGAATGAAGAAAAAGACCACCCATTTTGTAGAAGGTGAAGATACTGGCAACAGGAGGACCAGATCAACAGGCTTATTAGAAGAATGGACTAAGGTGTCCGCCATGATTATTTTTTTCTAATCTGGTCAGTTAATAAGAAGTACCTGCTCTCAGATTGAAATAAAAAAATGTAACAAGAACAGATGATAATAAGTGCTATAGACTAAAATAGAGCAAATGTACACGAAACAGAATTTCATGCTCCATAGCAGGACTGGATTTAACTTTAATGGTTGTATACATTCTCAAGATGAAGATGCTCCATTCTCAATAAATATATAAAATGAAAACCAATAATAAATTTCTGAATGAATGTAAGGAAGTACAAAAAAGTTGATTCTTAAATATCACATTTCTAATGTTTGTTTTTAAATGGGTTGTGAGACCCTGAAGTGCTGTTGTCCAAAATTTGCACTTAGTTAATACATTTTTGGGTGTTTATGTTCTGGTTCAAGCCACAGGGATTGCAGAAGACTAATGAAGGCCCAAGCCTAGCCAACTTCTGGTCAGGAATGCAGATCATGTTATGGCCTAAACATCCTCTTTCTTGTGCTTTCTCTTGCTTTAGGCAAGAGATT